GTTCGTTAAAACAGTATCCGGGGCGAAAGCTGCACCAGATGGACCCAAAAACGGGTTCGGGGACCGATTTTGCACGAATTTGGTATCATCCCCTTTCCAGGCCGATTTTCCAGGGCCCCCAGACGTTCAGACCCCCCAGACACCTCCAATGCTGATTGTTGCTTGTGGTTGTACGCATTGATTTGTTTGTGTATCTATATATAAAGTTAATCTATGGATGTTTTTCTTCTCCCCCCCTCCACTTGCCATGAAGCAGAGGGGTCCTGGTCGCCTTCTTCTTAATTCTATGTTTCGCCGATCGGTGCGGGCCCCTGGCCCCCCCCCTCCCCCCTCCCCCTCGTGTCGTCGTCGCTGGTCGCCGCCGTCTGTCGTCGGTTCGCCGCGTACACCTTAATGGCGGACCACAGAAACCTTTGCGCGGGCTTCCGAAATATTGTTTCTGCGTGGGAGGGGGCGGAAAGGCTGTCCTTGGATTCGTGGCGTGGCTGAAGTGGAGATCCGCGGTGCGGAGTGTTGTTGTTTTGCGTTGGGGTGCGTGGCGTGGTTGAAGTGGGGATTTGCGGTGCGGATTATTCCTGTGTTGTCTTGTCTTGCCTTGTGTTGTGTTATGTTGTGTTGTGATGTGATGTGTTGTGGTGTGTTGTGATGTGTTGTGATGTGATGTGTTGTGTTGTGTTGTGTGGTTTGTGTGGTTGTGTGGGTGTGTGGGCGTGTGGGCGCGTGGGTGCGTTGTCGTCGTCCTCGTCCGCGCTCCACTCGCGACCCACCCGCATTGCAAAATCCACCTGCGGCGCGGGTCCATTTTGTGCAGCGTGCCAAGAATCAGCGCTTGCGGAGGGCGAGATCTGTCCTTGCGCCTGGCAGGCTGTCGACGACCCCCCCCCCCCCTTCTGCCCCCTCTCGCTCCCATCCGCAGCTGCGGGGCGCCGAGGTGCGACATGCCACCCCTCTCCCCCCCGAACCTCTCCCTCCGCCGTGCAGGCCTCACTCCCATCCGGTCCCCTCCGCTCCCTCCTCCCTCCCCCCCCCCCGCCCCCCCCTCGGTCCCCCCCCTCTCCGTTGCCCGTCGCCTGCCGGCTCGGAGGGCCCACGCGCTTTTTGAGCCCCGCGAGGGGCACCTCAGGCCGTCCCCCAGTCTGAGACTCCACCAGCGCGCGCTTGCCTGCGCACCCCTCCCCTCTCCCCGGCCCCTCGGCCTCCCTCCTCCGCTCGCTCGTTCGCGCTCTCTCTATCTCTCTCTCTCTCTCTCCCTCTCCATCTCTCTCTCTCTCTCGTTCTCTCCCTCTCGCTCTCCCCCTCTCGCTCTCTCACTCTCTCTCCTTGTCGCTCTCCCCCTCTCGCTTTCTCACTGTCTCTCTCCCTCTCTCGCTCTCTCGCTCTCTTGCTCTGTCTCTCTGTCTCTCTCGCTCTCTCGCTCTCTTGCTCTCTCCCTCTCTCGCTCTATTGCTCTGTCCCTCGCTCTCTCTCCTCCTGTCCCGCCCCCTTTGTCGCCCCCCCCTCCTGCGGAAGGCGGCCATGGCCAGCCTCCAGAAGCAGCAGAGAGTCCGCCATGAGCTGAAGAAGGCCCACGGTGTCGCCGCCCCCGGGCGGGAGGGGCACATACAGTGGGAACGTGCATCCCGATGGTTGTTCGTCCTGGTACCCTGGGCTTCTTCACTTCTCGCGACGCGTGGTGGCCTCCAGAGGCCGCTGGAGGAGCTGCTCCCCCTCGCTTGCACCTCGTCCGCGTGCGGGTTTTCAGGGCCGGGTCTCTTGCGATGGTTTCTTGCGGCCGCCTGCGCACCGTAGGGGGCGGTCGAAAAAAAGGCGCCGGCCTTGCATCTCGAGGATCGAAGGAGTTGTCGTCTCCTCTGCGGCAGAAGGCGGCGGAAGGTCGGCGGAAGGTCGGCGAAAGTAGAGCGTGGCCGCCTCAGCCGGCGGAAGCCGGCGGAAGTAAACATTGCGCCCCAAGAAGATGAAAACGTGTTTGGGTTCAGGGTTTTCGGAATCCGCCGTATGATCCCCGACGCCGACGGCGCCGAGGCCGACTCCGACGCCGACGCCGACGCCGACGCCGACGACGCCTACGCCGACGGCGCCGACGCCGACGACGCCGATGCCGACGCCGACGCCGACGCCGACGCCGACGCCGACGACGCCGACGCCGACGCCGACGCCGAAGGACGACGACGACGACGACGACTACTACGACGACGGCGACGGCGAGGACGACGACGTCCACCGTCCACCACGCCGCGCCCACAGGGCCACGACCAAACGGGGGCGGTGAGATCCCATTCCCGCGAGGCCTTCGCGGGGCTGACGGGCGTACCCATTCGGCGGGGGGGTGGTCCGATCCCATATGCATTAGGGGGGGCAACCCTGGACCATAGATTGCCCACAGGGACCCCGAAGAGCACATGACACCCTTGCGGCAGAAGACCCTACCCTGTGTTCCTGGTGTTGCGTTTTTCACAACGGACGATTTTGCCTTGCTTCGGCCCCTTGGATCCTCACGGATCGACCCTGCTCCTAGACATGGCTCAGAGAGATGGAGTGCAAGGCTCCAGCCGAGTTCCTTTCGAGGGTTGCTAAAGGCACCCCTGGCCCAGGGCCCCCCCAGCTCGTCGCTCGATCTTGGAGCCCTTGGAGCCCTCGGGGCTTCGTGGGGGGGGTGCTCTGAAGGCCGTGGGGGGGGCCTCCTTGGGAATCCAGGGGACACCCCTTGGGCCAGGGGCACCTCCAGCAGCACCTGGTCCCGCTCCATGCTGCACTCCTTTCGCTACGCCAGATCTCACGGTTCACAGCGCCGCACAGCGCACGACGCGGGGGTTCACGGCGGGGGCTCGCGGCCCAGCGGCCCTCGCTGGGCGGTTTTGGAGAGTTACGCGCGTAGCCTCGGGTCGGGCATGCCCCTCTACAGGAGGAGTATCCAAGAATAGTCGAAGAGGATGATCTTGCCACGATCTTTCGTGCCTCATTTATTGTGTGTTTGAAGTTGCTTCGATCATTTGGATGTTTCTTTCAAAATCCGCCTGTAGGAGGACATGGGCCATGCCCGACCTAAGTGTAGCCATGACAGGGAAGCTGCTTAGGGAATGGCTGAAACGGTCATGGCCCATGATGTATTGGGGTGATGTTGAGACCGTCTGTGGGTATTTATTCGAGGGCCCATGGGCTCATCTCCAGCTCATCTTGAGCTCATCTTGGGGCCATCTTGGCTCATCTTAGGATTGCTCCAGGGTCATCGTCGTGGGGTCATGCTGGGGTCATCTTGAGGCGCGAGGTCCGCTGGTAATCATACTAGGAGCATCCAGGGGTCATCATGGGGTCATTAAGTCATCGGGAGATCGTCTCGTGGAGACGTCTTTGGAGCATATTGGGGTTGTGGGACATGCGATCGTCCTGTGGTCATCTTGGGGTCGTCCTTGCGGTCAGCTTTAGGTCGTCTTGGGGTCATCTAGAGGTCACCTTGCGGTCGTTCTTGGGCGGTCTTTGGGTGATGTCGGGATCATCGTCGGGTGGGTGACCCAGCTTTCCAGTTCCTTCTGTCAGGGCCCATTTCGATCCTATCGATCCGACTCGGTGTCGATTCCGGTCGGCTCGACCCCATTCGATTCTTGTATTTCGACGATCCGATGCGGCTCACTGTCTGCATGGGCGTTGTTGTGCATCCTGGAGCAGCCACTCCGATTGGACTCCGACTCCGTCTCGATACAGCCCGGCCTGTCTCACATGTCGATTCTCCATGGCGTCCAAGAGGGGTCGGACGGGGCTAGGACGAGCATACATCCGTTCCAGAGCGTTCTGGAACGCTCTCAGAGCGATTCTGGAACGCTCGGCCGCGGCGCCCGAGACATCCTCCACAGCTACCGGATCTCAGAGATTCCCGATTCATCCTCACCCGAATTCACCCTCGTCCTGGCTTCGTCTCAGAGTGAGGACTGCGGTGGGGGCGTCGTTAAGAAACGTGCCCAGGAGGCTTCAGACCCTGGAGGGTTTCTTATCCGATCAGGGCGGTGGTGCAATTCATGGCCAATCCACGATCGGCTTTCCACTGGCTTCCAGATCCTGGATTCCTCATCGAAGGTTTCCTCATCCAATGCCATCACAGTATGGGGTGTCGTGGGCACCGGGGCCAGGCCGTGCTGCGCTGGCTCCGCACGCGCCCAGGCCTTGGGAGGCCACGGTGCGCCAGCGCGCCAGATGCGGGTCCCAAGACTAGGCATCGCCACCACCTCCGTTCCTCCTCCCTCCTCCGCCCTCCTCCTCCCCTGCTCCCTCCCTTCCTCCTCCGCCCTCCTCCGCCCTCCCCTCCCCTCCTCCTCCCTCCTCCCTCCCCTCCTCCCTCCCTCCTCCACCCTCCATCCTCCCTCCCTCCCTCGCCCCTCCCTCCTCCCTCCCTCCCCTCTTCCTCCTCCTCCCTCCGCCCTCCATTCCCTCCCCCCTCCGCCCTCCTCCTCCCCTCCTCGTCCCTGGGACGGGGAGGGGGACGGGGGAGGTGGTGGTGGTCTATATAGTTGGGCCCACCCCCCCTCGGTGTGCCCACCCCCCTGGGTGTGCCTCCCCCGCCCCCTCCTTTGGCGACGAGCGACGGCGACGACGACAACGACGGCGGCGGACGGCGACGGTGACGACAACGACGACGACGACAAGGACGACGACGGCGACGACGACGGCGACGACGACGGTGACGACGACAAGGACGACGACGACAAGGACGACGACGACGACGACGAGGAGGACGAAGACGACGGCGGACGCACCTGTGATCCGATCCGATGTGTGTCGACCTCGGCGCTCCAGAGCACTCCCGGGGGCGCGGAGACAGTCGCGCCTCGCGCGTCGCGGCCTCGGCCGTAGCGCTGGCCTTTTTTCCGAGGCGGCTCCGAGCGGGGGCGCGATGGCAACCGCGGGTCGCGCATTGCGGGGCGGCCGCGCGCCACGGCACGTGCCCCGCGTGCTGGCCGATCTTGCCCGCGGGCCGTCACCACCCGACCCCGCCCTTTCGACGTGCCCGTAGCCAGTTTGGCTCAAGCTGTGCACATTTTTCATGTTTAAGTATTCGAAAGTTCTCTGATTTTTTGGGGGGCCAAGATCCTTTCATTTCTAATTATTCTATCCTGGGCCTCTTCCTGGCCACTGGGGGGCCAGGAACAGCTCGAAGCGAGCACACTTAGAACCGAACATGCTTAGAGATGAACGACGTGTGACCTTCGCCCCGAGATTACAGATTCAGCTTGATCGCAGCCAGGTGGCTGACTCCAGGGCCCCTGGCCGAGGACTGAACCCTGATCTCTCGACCCCTGTCCGCTATTCCGTCCGACAGGTCCTCGGCCACGACGCTGTGCCAGCGGCAGTCCTTCGCGATGGGAGGCGCCACCGCCGTGCAGCAGATCCTGCGCGGCATTGCCGCCACCAACGGCCGTCTCGACACAGTCGATACCGATTTGATTGGCACGAGGGCGATGAAGGAGTGCTTGGAAGAACTCGCAGGGAAGCTGGCGCGTGTTCAGGACTCGATCATCTCCCACCCGACGGCCACGGAAGAAGCGCTCGCGAAGTTCGCCCAGAACGGCGTCATCTTCAAGTTGCAAGAGGGTGTCGACACCGCCAACAAGCAGTTCATGGATATCGCTAGCTCGGACGCGAGGTCTACTACATCAGGCACGTCGGCCGTCTGGAACTCCGTTGGTTTGTCCACCAATCGTTCTCTCACAGCAGTTTGCGCAGGACCGAAAGCCATCCACGTCGACGACGAGATCGATTCCAGCTTTTGTCGTGTCTACATGGGGGGGTCCCCGCCCAGTCCTCGTCAAAGTCGTGTTCGCAGTGTCCGAGACGCTCAAGCCACGGGAGTTAATCGCGACCGCCACATCGTTTTCAGCTGATGCCCGCAAGGTGAACAGGTCCTTCAACATCGGCTTCGAGGACCAAGTGTATGCGCGAGCCATCGTCGACACGGCGAAGGAGAACAGTCCCACCTGCACAGACCCAACATATGTCAACGTAGTTGTTTTACGTTCTCGTCTTTGTGCACCGTCGGGGGTGAGGCGTTGTAGCAAGGCGCTTGGCATGATGTGGAGCAAGTCATGACGAATGCATGAGGGGACTGGGTCTGTGGCACCCATCAATGAAGCTCGGCAGCCAAGGCTTCAAAGGCATGCTCTTCCTCGTTGGGAACGCCGATAGCGTGGTGCTCCACCAAACAAAGAGCACTCGAGTTGAACGATTTTGAGATCGACGCCAACGACGATGGCCTTCTCACCCTCGGTATTTTCCGCGAGGAGGCAGACAAAATCAGCTCCGTCATCGCGCCTCGCTAGGGGTCTACATTGCCGTTTCAGAGTTTGTGGGCTCGTCCCCTCGAGGAACGAGAAGTGGTGGTGCACAGGAGTTCCCTGGCGCCGACTGGTCCGCGACCGTTCGGGGCGCCATGCAATCATGGCACGTTAGTGCGGTTTCGAGCATGGCTGCTACCTCTGCCCGTACCTCGCCTCGCCCGTACCTCGCTCGCCCTCACGCCGTGCAACCGAAAAGAGCTTTCGAGAGATGCTGATTCTGGTTTGAATTCACTATCGCCTGGTTTCTCTCCGCTAGCACCTGCGCTTCCGTGTGCAAAGTCAGAGCCTTACATTGCTCATCGACCTCGCCCTGTTCTTGGTATGATCAGCCGAAGAACTTCCTTTCTCTCCGCTTCTGCTCCTCGGTGCGCCGCTCGCGCTCCCTTCCACTCTTATCCTTCGCCCCCTTTTTCTATCCTTAGCCGCTCCCTGCCCCCATTATCCGTCTTTCGGTTGGCCCCGAGGTGGCCCTCGAGGCTTTGGTATCAGACCTCCACTCCTCTCTTTTTCGTCCTCCCGCCCCTGCGTGACTGTCCAAACCGTTGCGGCACATGAACGAAAACATACAACACAAAAACAAAAACACAACCAACCACGAAAGCCACACAACACAAACAAGTACTGGACGGAACATAAAGAGCAACAACAACACAAACACCCCACGCACACACACGCACACAAAAATGACTAAAGTATGGCTTTGGCTTTGCACGCACAAGCCTGCGCTGTTTCGACTTCCAGTTCTTTTAGTTATCCTTGTCCTCATGTTGTCCTTCTGGGTCCTCGTCAGACTTTGCAGTCTGCTAGCGTAGGAGACGACAAGCCCGATGTTGGCGGGCTTGCCCCGCTTCTGCCCGAGCAGTCGCTCTCTATCGTGCCCTGGCGCCACGCCTGACCCACAGGCCTCTCACATAAAAACATGACACGCTCATTGCATCATGCCCCACCCATTCATGACAGCGCTCGCGTGCAAGAAGCCAGGGGCGCCCAGCAGCATCTCTAGCATGTTGTTAAAGGTGTATCAAGCCTTCGGAGTAGGCACTTTCGCCGACAGCACTACCGCTGGAAGGCGCGCCAATGCTGTCCCATCATCGGCTACAAATGCTCTCCAGTCATGCCCATCGCGAAAGTATCGTCTAATGGCGTATCCACCATCTCATGTTATCGAACATCGAGCACGGCATGCAAGCCAGCCAGCTGCCCCGATAGTTGCGCACGAGACCGGCGATCTCGCCGACGATCGCGGGCTTGCCAGCAGTGGCGCGAACCCGGTCGATTCCATCGCCATCGACATGGGCCCTTGGTTGGGGCCGCTGGCGGGATGCATACCTACGCCTGGAAACCTGTCGCGGCTCTCGCTGGTAAGCTCGTGGTGGACGACTCCAGGAAGAGCAGTGTTCTCAGGAGGGGAAAAAACACACAGACACAATTATTCTTCGACCCCCAGGAAAATATGGGAAAATATGGGAAGTGTGGGGGAAGACAGAAATCCAACAAATATGGGAAACTATGGGGCATCATTTTATCTGTGTGTATTTATTTGTGTGTCCTTGTGCCCCTTGATGTTCGCCTGGGGGGATCTGCTCGCGGGCTCCAGACCCTCCGGAGCGCCAGCGGCGGCCAGGGGGCGGAGCTCGGAGCTCCCTCGGAGCAAGTTCGCGCCCCGCTCGCACGTGGCCCGGGGCGTGGACTTCGGACTGGCCGAATCCGACCCCCACTGCAACGGAAGCTGCTCGTTTTCGCCCTGAGCTCTGCTGGTCAGAGGCGTCCTCCGAATTTGCCGGTGTCGAAGCAGGAGGGGAAGATGATCCAGTTGATTTGCAGGAGCCCACTCCATGCCATCCCTTTCGGTGGACCTCCAGGGTCTCAGATCCTTGGGGCCCCCTGTTCAGGCCGCCAGCGCAAGGGCCCGAAGCCGCGGCCATGCTGCGCGCTTTCGAGTTCCTGAAGCGACCTCAGCGTTCCCTGGGGCCGAGGAGCTACACATTCAATTCAGTGGTTCCGAGGACGTCTTGCATCCCGTGGCAGCAGCGCCCAGCCTGGCAAGCGGGGCATCATGAAACGTTTGCGTAGCAACTCCCGCCCGCTGCGCGCCATCCCCCGAGCTCCCGGGGACCTCCATCGGATTCAGGCCCAGGTGGCAAATTATCTGAACGAGGTGTGCGAGAAAGCTCCCGCGCATGGCGATCCCTTCCAGAGTGGGCAGAGTGAATCCCGAATTGCCCACGGCTGATGCGCACTATTTTAAAGTTGGGTTTGGAGGATTGCCGAAAACAATGTTTCTTGTTTCTTATATTTTTTGTTATTGGTTTTGCTTGCAAATTGGATAGTTGCTGGACCACCAGTGGCAGGGTCTAAGGTTCTACGCAACCTGCATTGCTTGTGGGCGTGCGTACGGAGATACCCTGCGCCATATCGCCGTTTGCCCTTCGAACCTATTGTCTTCCTGCATTGACTTTCCTTTGCCGTATTGTACGGTAGCCCTGCTGATTCAATCGCCTTCTTCAAGTTTTGTCCCATGCCTACCTCTGACCTTTTCAGCTTTGCCGTTTGTTTTGGTATTGCGTACTATGTTGGTCACCGCCTTCGGCGCAGGTCTTGCGCGAGAAATTTTCTCATAGAAACGTGCGGGCCCGAATACAGCAGTTTGTGAGGAGGCACGAGGCCGTCTCGCGTTCGTTTGGCCAAGTGATGCGCGACTCCGCTCCGTCAAGGCGCGGCCGCGCCTAGGTCGCTCTCCCAGGGCGGTGGTGATGTCGGAACCCAGGAGGTCAGCCGCCCAAGGCAGCACACGAGGTCGGGCCGGCTCGCTTCCCGGGTGCGAGTTCACTCCCGAGCGGAGAAATGTTCCTCCGCAGCGTGCGTGGGAGGAGCGCGTGGCCAGCGAAGTGGACTAGGATGAGGATGAGGAGGAGGAGAAGGAAGAGGGCGAGGAGGAGAAGGAGGAAAAGATGGGGAGGGCAGAGGAGTGTGAAGAGTGCACTCCCCTGCCCCTCTGCCGCCCTTGCCACCATGTGTGTATGTTGTACACGCTTGTCTTGTTTTGTGGCATGCACGCTGCCCGCCGCTGTTTTGGCCCTAGTCCTAGGGCCCTGGGACGCACCCGCAGTTGGACTGCCGCGCGGTCTTTGCTGAAAACAACTGCACTGACATTGGTAGCGGAGCTAGTAAGCTCCAGCGGACGCACTGCGTGCTCTGCTTCGGTGGTTGTGACCACCCGCGTGGGCCGCCATGGCCGCCAGCCAAGACGGCTCAGACGTGGAGGCTGCGTCCTCCGCAGGCACAGGTCCCCCGGACCTGCATGCGGTCCTGCGCGTGATGGCCGAGACCCAGCGGGAGCTCCTGGCCTTACATCGGGATCGTGGTGGCGACGGCGGTCCCAGACGGGCACGTCTACTGCTGTCGCAGGTGAAGCTCCCAGAGTTCGATGGTGCAGTCGGTACGAGTACTAAGAAGTACCGAGAGTGGCGCAAGGAGGTTGAAGTCATCCGCAACCTCAACCAGCTCTCAGATGTGGAGCTGGGCCTGATCATCTACAGTCAAGTGACAGGTCGAGCCAAAGAGCTCATCGAGGTGCTTGACGCGTCGGACCTCCGACGCGAGGAGACGCTTGAGACCATCTTTGCTATCTACGACGACGCCTTCGAGAAGATGGATCACGACGCCTCGATCAGGTGCATCAGGAGTGGGAGCGAGCACACCGTCGAGCTGGGCAGCCGATCATGGATTGGACCACGTACTTGCGCAAGAAGCGCATGGAGTTGCAGCTCGAGGATCCGACTTCAGCGATCAGCGATCGCGCATTGGCAAGCAAGATGCTTCGTGGCGCTGGACTGTCGCAGAAGGAGCGAGCGCAGGTGCTCTTCAACTGTGGCGGCATCTACGACTCGAAGCGGATGGAGGTCGTGCTGAAGGCAGCCTACTCGAAGGTGCACGACACCGAGAAGCGCACAGTGCTCCCTCGCCGCTCGCCGTTTGCGGCGCAGCGTGAGCACGGGCGCTCCTCTGGGAGTTCGGGCGGTCGCTATCCGCGCCCTCCCATGGCTCGTAGGCCGTGCGTGCTGCGAGGACGCTCTGGCCAGCACGTGCACGAGGTAGAGAACGGCGACGACTACGATGAACACCACGGCGACCTGGAGGAGGCGCAGCACGACGAAGATGAAGCAGATGAACAGGACGATGGAGACCCCGGAGCTGGCGAGGGGATCTTCGAGGACGGCGCCGAGGTCGAAGAGGAGCTGGCGTCGGACAACGACGGGCCAGATGACGAGGAGTACGAGGCACCGGAGGATCTTCAGGAAGCGTTCTTGGCCGGCTGGAGGGCCAAGCAGAAGACGGCGGCACAGCGTCAGAAGCGTGGGTTCGTTGCCCCTCGGCAGCGGGACCCCAAGAAGATCGGCTCCTTCCAGGCTGGTCGGAAGCCGACGGACCAGCGCAAGGCTAACAGCCGGTGTGCTGACTGCGATCAGCCTGGCCACTGGCGTGGCGACCCAGAGCGCCCCAAGGTGAAGAGTGGCGAGCGCGAGCCGTGCAACAAGAACGGGCCTAAGAATGGCCAGCCAGCGTCGCCCAACCAGCGGAGCTCTGTGAAGCCGCCGGCGCCTAGGCAGGTGCATGGACCGATCGTCCACTGGGTTGGCATGGCAGGCAGTGCCGAGGAGCGTCGTGGCCGCGCTCCATGGCGCCGTGCTCCCCAGTCGGTGCCTGCCCAGAGGCATCCAGTGGAGGGTCGAGCGGACGCGCCAGGGCGGATCATTATGCACCCAAGGCCTAAAAGCATGCCTGCGCCGAGCCTACGCCAGGATGCCGACGACGGCCCAGGGGCCGCACAGAGCAGTGATGAACGTGCGCGCGCCCGTGCCAGGCGCGGGGGGGATCAGGAGGACGCGGATGCATGCGTGCGTTGCCATCGCATTCTGGCCAACACCCACGCAAAGGGGCACAGCGTGGAGTTGGAGTTTCCTGACCTTGCCACGGTCCATCACATCGTGGAGCGCGCGACGAACAAGAAGCCTATCTTCTTCAAGCAAGGCCGCTTCGAGAGCCTCGACTTCGTCCAGGGTCGGCTCGTGCGCCTGCAGCTGACCACATCGAGGCCTTGTACGGCGGCTGAGGTGGATCTCGACGAGATCACGGCAACTATATTCATGATCGTGATGGGCGGCAATCGTGATACCAAGCCCCGTGACGATCGGCGCGGTGAAGGCGGGAGTCGTGACACCAAGCAGCGTGAAGATCATCATCGAGATCGTCGTGACGACCGCCAGCGTGATCGGGGAGCTGTTCTTCGCGAGCCTCGTGCCCCTCCTCCGCCCGAGGCGGAGGCTTCCTCGCGTTCAAGGTCGCGGAGTACACCAGAAGGCCGCGGTGTGAAGAAAGAGAAGCGGAGC